CGACCAACAGCATCAATTTATTTTTACAAATATGTTTGGAGGTCCATTTGTCATAACAAGTATAGCAAAGACCCAATTCTCTCTTTTTGTGCAAATCAGCATTGAAAACCCTCTTCATATGGTTAAGAGCTGGAAGAGCTAACCGTTGTGTACTTGGAGGTAATGATGGAAGTCCAGAAGGAGAAGTGGATGTATTTGGCAACACAGTAGTATTCTCAGCAACAGAAACAAATTTTGGAAAAAATTTCTTAGGTGACCCTTGGAAAGAATTCTTTAATTCACCAAAATGATCATCATAAGCCATGGCAAGTTGAATGGCTTGATGCAAAGAAATAGGTTCCTTTAATTGAACTGCACTACGAAGCTCAGATTGCAAACCAGAAACAAAAAAATTCATGAGCAAATCATCAACCAAGTCTGGAACTTGATTAACCAATGCCTCAAATTGTTGAACATAATATCGAAGGGAAGAGGTTTGGGTCAATTTAGATAAAGCTCCCTTTAAATTTGTAAAACCAGACATGCCAAATCGTTGACGAAGTGAAGCAGCAAAATCACACCAAGAACGAGCTTTACCTGAATTGAAGGTCCATTGAAACCAAGAAGCAGCCATGCCATCCATCTTTAACCCAGCCAAAGCAACCTTTGTCTCTTCTGGAATCAATTGAAGAGTGAAGAAAAGCTCTGCTTTAAAAATCCAGTTATTAGGGTCATGACCATTAAAAACTGGTATCTCCATGCGAACACCCTTGAGCAAAGCTCGATGATCCATGGATTCTGATCTATGCGAATTGTAAAAAACAGAAGAAGAATTAGCATTCAACGAATCTTGCTTCTGCGCCTGATTAGCTATAATAGCCTCCTGTAATTGTTGCATCTGAGTGACCAACAAGGAAAATTGATTCCTGGAATCAGAAGCTTGTTGCATCGCTTGAATGCGAAGTTCATCAAAATTTGTATCAACACGTTGCTGGAAGGAATGCAATTCCTCCGATAATTCTTGAACCTTCATCATGATGAGAAGAAGCAAAAAAAAGCAATGAAAGCACCAATGTTAGGTTCTTAAGAACCTAAGGAATGGAACACAGAAACCAAAGAGAACAGAGAAGAATGAAACAAGTTTTTATTCGATGATTTCTGAAAGCTATTACAATGTATTCTTATACTATCCTCATTACTTCACAACAGATACCTCCCTATACACGTGTACTCTAACAAACTAACCAACTCCTATCTGCATGCAACTACTAACACATGTTAACTAACTACCTTGCCACGTCATATCAACCTACAAGCCTTTTTAATACAGATAGCCTTCAAGATACAAAGTCAGTGAGCCTAGAAGAGTGCTTCTTGTCTCTGGCTGATCTCCTTAATGTAACATCCTTCCCGAAGAGAGAGTACAGTAAAAATTTAAGTCAATCTTAAATAATTGTACTCTAAGTTTAATAGGTGATATAAACCTAATATATATGTGAGATGGAGGCCCAATCTAGTAAAAGCCCGAAAATCCAATAACCATAAACTTAATCTTGAAGGAACCGCGTTCATCCTGCGTATGAACCGTAGATATCTCGTCTACTTGGCTGACAAACCAAAATAACTTAGCATGTAAGGAAACTTCATTGTTGAGATCAGCAGCTCAGGGAACCTTGACCTCCATATGAACTCAATGAATGAATGATAGCACTAGCTCGTCACTATATCTACTAGGGCTAGCCTGATCATATATAGGCTTCTCACCCATGGAATAGCCTATGAAAGGCCGCCATACTCCACCAATAAAAACGAATACCGCCATTGAAAGACGGCATGAAGCAAGACATACTCTCACTATAAGTATAGAGGCATTCAGCTCAGGTAAAATCATCTATTCTTGAGTACTTGAACTATATTGAATACTAAACTGACTTGAGCGTCAAAGTGTCTGGTTGATACTTCCCATTCTTCTCAAACTACTTAGACATCAGACTTGCAGTTCAGTCATCTCGTCAAGCAACCTATCATCTTGACGAAAAGCTCACTCTTCATCAGTCTTTCTCTTTATCAACATTTTTCACCTGCAATAGTGTATGATCAGGCTCAGCGCAATATTTGTTGGATTGGTCAATAGGAATGTATGGATAAGTTTTTCTTATTTCAAACGTACCTATTGAATTTTAAACTTAAGCTAGTTTACTAACATATTAGTTTTTAATTATTTTATTTTACTCAAATTATGTTAGCAAATATACACAATTCGTTCTTATATTTGAATAAAAATTCAAATATATATCAACGATAGAGTATCACTACCTAATTAAACATAACATTGAAACTTAACAAATTTATTTATTGTGTGGGCAATTCAGTAATAAATATGTATTTGAAGATATATTCCAAATTTGTCAAAAATGGTTAGAGAATAATATAAATCATTAAAAAGACTCTCACCTAATACCTTAAAGTTTTGGGTTGAAGTGGTTCTTTACATAGTATCAGAGCTTCAGTGACCATAAGGTCACGAGTTCGATCCTCACCACCCCACTTGTGGAATTAAATAAAAAGTACAAAAATTGGGCTTGTGCAATATCCACACTTCAAACCCAAAGGGCTCTTGTGTGAGGGAGTGTGTTAGAGAATAATATAAATCATTAAAAAGGTCCTCACCTAATACCTTAAGATTTTGGGTTGAAGTGGTTCTTTACAAAAATATGCAAATTAACAGCCCTCCTATCCATTTCTAAAATCTGTAAATACCACAATTTAGAAAGAAAAAAAATTCGAGCTACTTAAAAAGAAAATAAGCAGAAGATGAAACCAAGTATATATAGTTGGTCTTCCATTTTAGGCTATATAAAGATATTTTATGCTATTCGAAAATGATGTCATTTTGGGGTTTATAAAAAAAAATTAGAAATTTTGCTTTTATTTTTTGTTTATTATGAATTTTATTAAAATATCCTGTATTATTTTTTTAAACTCCAAAACAACATTTTAGAGTTATAGGAGATAAATTTATATTATGTTACGTGAGAGACGTTAATTCCAACTAAAATATTTTTTTTGGAAAGGTCACTGTAAGTAGTTTTAATTATGGGTAAAGTGTGTGTTATTTTAGAGGATGTAAAATTGTGTCATTTTAAGATAGAGAAAGAGATAGATAAAGGAGGAGAGAGTTGACAAAAAAAATAAAGATGTGGATCCCTTCTCTTTATGAGAGTGAAATGATATAAGTTGTGTCATTTAAAAGGATAAACATTTTTTCCTTTAATTATTTATTAGCTAATGGTGCTAACTATCCTTAAAAAAAATGTATAGGAAAGACTTAATTCCAACTTCCAAAAAAGATACATATATATATAAGATTTAGAAAGATGAGAATCGCTGTAATTTCGATAAAGTAAATAGACTTTTGAAGTAAATATGTAAGGGGAAGCCAAAGCCAAAACTCTTGGCACTACGAATTTTTTGGCCACGCAATATTAAAATGATTGTCAATGATATAGCTAAATTAAGCTAAGCTATCTCATCAGATACTATAAATAGATCTACCATGTCCAAGTTAGACATTTATTTAGCTTATTAATTTTACAGGGAAAAGATATACTTACTACCAAAAAAATTTACCATTCTTACAATTAACTTAATCATCGTTAATTTCCGTCAATCTAACAATTATACTTTATTGGAAATTATTGAGTTGTACTTATTAATTAATTATTAATTCTTAATAAATTATAACCATTAGATTAACAAAAATCAACAGTGATTAAATTGGTTGTAAGAGTGGTACACTTTTTTTATGGTAAGTATATCCTTCCCTATTTTATAGATATATTTATACCAAAACTCGATCACTGAATAGAGCATAATTTGTTGCCTATAATTGAGACAAAAGCTGTCTACCTCCTCTTATACACATTGCCTAATCTGATCAGAGTACTAAAACTTGATACTGATGATGAAATATCCTATCAGAAAACTTGAAATGGCAAGCTCCCATTAATGATAATTTGATGTAACTCAGACCTAGATATAGATACGTGTGTCCCTTCCCCTTTTTATTGTTTGCACTATCCTTTAAAAAACATGCACCACATGGGTGGGTGAGTTGAAACGCGTTGCATCTTTGGGCACATTCTCCCTTGAGCGACCAAGTTCCCACCAACACACAAATTTTGGTCTTTTTGTCATAGTAATGTTGAAAAGAAACATTTTTTTTCTTATTAATTTACAAACCAAATAAATAATAAAAATAATACAATGAAACATGCATATGTTGTTTCACAAACCAAATAAATAATCAAAATAATATGATGTGACACGTATGGAATGTGCACGAGAGAAAGGGACCCATGCAATCAAATGCTAAAATAAACTATTTAGGGTCTCCTCCTCTACTTTGGTTTTGGTTTTTTGGTAGACACCATAGGTACTTTAGCAAGGAATAGCCACACATATATGATGATGTTGTGTGTGAATGTGTGTGTGTGTGAGAGAGAGAGAGAGCATCTGCAGGTTGATATTGGCAACAATAACTGGTTTGGTACAGCTACATAGCCTCCATAGAGGAGACAGCTTGGGATTCCAATAAATGTACCTAGCTACAAATAAAGATTGAAGTCCATTTTCTACATTATATATGTTATATTCATTTATAATTTACATGATCACATCATTTTTCAGGAAAAATTCAAGGGCCAGACAAAAGGAAAATTATTCAGTGCCCGAAAATGAATGTCTACAGGCCCTGAACACCCGTGCTCAGCTGCCACAACTCTGTGAGACCCAAACAGGTCCTATTTCCGGGAAAATCCAAATTGAAGGGTCCAATTTTCCCTTCTACGGTTTACCATAACTAAAATTTACAGCAGTGAAAGCTGAAACAGATCATAAAGTAGTAGAGGGTCACTGCAGAATTCCATTTGCTACTAGAAGTAGTACCCTAGGGACCAATAATTAAAATTGAGCCACTAGAAATTAATTACACAACAAAATATAAAGAAAAAAAAGGGTAATTAACATAGATGCTTTAAATCAACGATTCTTACTAACAATAACACAAAGATTAAAAGCTTTGAAATTAAATTTGGGAGAAAGTTACAAGAGGTGGAATTAAGTTCACTATATATTATTATTTGATGCTCCTCCATTTAATTTCTTGGAAATATTAGCCATGCAAATTAACTGCTCCTACCATGCACTACTACCCGCTTGAGAAAAACAGTGAGCTTGAAGTTGTTGAAGGGCTTCCGCTTTGATAAGACCTTTGCCGGAAATAATCTGGCGGCGACACCGCCACCGTCACTGAAGATGACGACTGAGCTCCGGAATCCGGTGGGGATCCTGTCAAAAAATATTAAAAAATAACAAAATTGTTGTAAATTGAAAAGGAAAAAATAAACAAAGAGAAAATCTTAATTATTCATACCAAAATAACAAATGATAATCATGTTTATGATAATTAAATAAAATTAAGAACTGAAAAATTAGAGAGAAGGAAGGGTACAGTACTTGCAATATTATCCAAAGTGGGTTGAGATTTGTGGGTTTCTTGAGTTGGCTGCTGAGTTTTTCTTCTGCGACGATTATGATCTGCCAATCTCTTCCTGCAGCTACGTTTTCCATTATCAAATTCAGAAAGAAGATGGAACCTGCATGTCAGAAATAAGAAAAATAATTAAATATATATATATATATATATATATATATATATATATACTAAATAATAATCACAATAACTATTAATATTTTAGTTAATTTCCTTGCCAGCTGTTTTTTTTAAGGTACTAACTAAAAGAAGCAAAACAATGCAGCACGTAAGTAGTAAAACTGAAAGATGAGTAATGAGGGAACAGCAAACATCTTAGAGGACGCAAATGCCCTCGGGATTTCCCCCATGTACGGTCAACTCAATCATTATCAACACTCTCTCCGAGGGCACTTTCGTCTTTTCAAACCCAACCCCTTCATAGCCTTCCCACCATTCTGGGAAATCACACCACACCACACCACACACAGAAACAACGTTGGGTTTTGTGTGTGTGTGTACGAGAGATATTTGAACTTCCAAAGTTGAAACCAAGACTCTTTCAAAAAAAAAAAAAAAAAATTGAAACCAAGAAAACAAATACACATCCAAATCAAGAATCTTTCCGTCTTTTCAAAAAAAAATTAATTAATTTTAATTAAAATTAATTAAATCAGTTAATAGCGAGTGCTGGTGAAACAAATTGCACTACTATAAGAAGCAAAGGCAAAAGGGCAGTAAGGGACACGGGAAAAGGACGGAAATGCCCTCGGGATCAGCCCGTGTACTTAGAGAAGCTGAACTCAATGATTGGGGTCCGAGAGTAGGGGCTTTTATGTCATTTCAAGCCACAACCTGCTGCATTGCTGGCAGAATCGCTGAGTCAACCCGGCGGCGATGACGGTGGCGGCTTTGGAGTGAAACTCGCACACCTTGTGGCGGCGGTGGTAGTGCTTCGCCTGTGACAGATCAGCATTGCATCCCTCGGCCTGACACCTGGGCGAGTTAGACGAACCGGTCGAACCCGGTTCAGCCGGTCTGGACCGGCGGTAGAGCCTGCTCACAAAGTCATCCTCGGAAGAAGAGAAGTACGTGCGGCCTCCCAGGTTGAGCCCAATTCGCGAGCCCACGAAGTCCATGGGCCTACCGAGCTCTTCAGACTTAGGCACGAGAATAAGTCCGGGCCCAGGCCCATTCCCACAGCTAGCTGCGTTGACGTGTGGCAGCGGGTCAAGAGAGAGCATGGAGTGTGGTGGTGGTGGTGGTGGTTGGGGTGGAGGGTAGGAGGTTGAGGACACGCCATGGAAGGCGCGTGGGTCGAAGAACGTGTGGTGGACTTGGTGTTGGGCTTGTGGGCTAAAGTGGTGGTGGTGCTGTTGTTGTTGGTGGTAGTGGTGGTGGTGAGTGAAATCAACGGTGTTTGAGGCTGTGTTTGTGGTGGTTGTGGGCCCATGAAGGAAGTGGTCAGGTAAAAGGGTGTGGGAAGCGTAGTGGTCGAAGATTTGACGGTGGGTTTGGTCGGAGGCAGCGGCGGCGGCACCACCGTCTTCATTTCCGGTGAGCATTATGGTTGATGGGTTCCCCCATTCGTATTCCAACATGTCTCTCTTTCTCTTTATCTTGCAAGAGTTCACTACCTGTGAAAAATCATGTTACATAAGTGAAATAATAATAACATAAAAAAGAAAAAGAAAAAAAAAGTAAAGGGTTCTTTTTTATGATTTGAGATGGTTTTGAAGTGTTTTTGGAGAACTCTCAAACCTATGGAAAATTTGAAGAAGTGGGATTCGATTGAAAACACCCAAAAACCCTAATTTCAACACAAGTTATGCTTTCCTCTTTCCCTCTCTGTTCATTACCTTCTTCCACACTCTAATGGCGTGTACATTAAGTCTTCTCTCTCTCTCTCTCTCTCTCTCTCTCTCTCTCTCTCTCTCTCTCTCTCTCTCTCTCTGTGTGTGTCTCTCAGAGTCTTTGCCTCTGCTAAATGGATGTGCGCTTAAAAGATCTCACTTTCACCCTCAAAAAGCTGAACCCTTTTGTCCCCTTCTCCATCTCTCTTTCCAAAAATAAAAGTTACTCTTTGCTCCTTCTCTCTCTAGGTGAGTGAGTGAGAGCGTGTCTTGTGTGACTCTATGTGTGTGTGTGTGAGTTTGAGGGAAACTCAGTTTATGAGGCGGCTTGTGCAGACAGTGGCTAGTTGGTGGTGATCTCGTACTGTGATATGTTAGGAGTTATATTGAAATTACCGTTTTATCCAAGAAGAAATTATATTTTTACATCTTTTTTTATTTTAATCTTTTTGTTACACCATCTTAAAATGTTAGTATAAGTGTTTTGCTACAGGTATAATTACTTATTTGGGTGGGTTAGTGCCAAATAAGTTAGGAGGAAGAAACAGAATCAGTGTTGGGTAGTAGCGGTAATTACTGCTTGTGAAAGGTAGAAACTAATAAAACAAGAGGGAAACCTAACTGTTAACTGAACAAAATGAGAAGCTAGAAAGAGGTAGAAGGAGTGAACAAGGGTTAATATGAAGCAAGGACATTAAATTTAAGGACCCACAATCTGTTTCGAGTTTGGTCTGCTTGATCAGTGGCCCAGGTCAGATGATCGTCATGATTAATTCATATATGGCTAGGTGGATTTTATGCTTGCTTAATAGAATTTTCGCTTTCTTGCTTTTAGAAACGCACCCTTTATTTCGTTTTTGAACATTTGAAAGGGACTGTTTAGAGCAAGTGCAACTGCTTGTGTTCCATTGTTTCTGTGTAAATGCTTGATGTTCTTACATTAAAGTTTCAAGCCATGTGATTCTTCTTCTTGACAAACTTTATGCGTGAATAATTAGGGGTGTTCATAAACTAGTTTAGAACTATCAAAAACTATCTTAATGATTTAGTTAGATTTCTAAAATAATTCAATTTGACTACATTTAAAATTTAATTGAATTTCTTAAAGTTTGAAGCCATATATTTAATGTTCTAAACAAAGTTTAACAAATCTTAATCTAATGTGATTTCAGTCATATAGTTTTGAATGTAGCCAAGTTATAAAGGATGGGTATGAAATATCATGTTCACGATTAAGTATTTCAAAGTTTGATAGTCTTCAATTATTGTCTTTCACATATATGACTCTGGGTAGTTGCAAGAGCAAAGAGATGGGAGGTGCACTTGCAAAATATTTTGTCACTTGATTTTTATGCATGAATATCTTGGGACAATTAGTGAGAAAGGTAGTAATAGTTGTTAGTACATAAGTATTCTAGAGACAATATGAGAATCAGATGGACTCATGTACTTCTTTATTGTTATAAATAAATTTTATGAATAAAAATATTTTTTATCTTGTTTCATATTGCATGTCTCAAATATTGAATATGAGTAACTCGATAAAGCTCTTGGAATAGAACGGGTGTCATATTGAGGATCTGTGATAGGGATCACGATCATGAGGGCTCAATGACACCACATGTCCATTGCTAGAAATATGTTCCTAGTCTAGAGATATCGATAATGGGCATTGGTGATCTTGGGTAAGACTAGCACGACTGAGCTACTTGGATAGAGATGCAAGGTAAAGTCCTCGTGACCTACAGACATGGAAATATCTTAGCTGACTCATGGGTGGACCTATTGGAGAATAGCTCGCACTGAATTGACCCACAAAGAGACAATACAAGGAAATCTCACAAATAGTATCGATAGGTAATATCTCTTATTATTTGAGTATGTCTTTCCTTAGACCTGACATTGTTATATAGACTTGTGCTCTGGAAGGCTTGCTTTGATTGTATACCTTGTCTGCCTGAAACATGGAGACTCGTAGGTATATTTTTGGGCATGTCCTAAAAACTGAGGGCTAGTGTGACTAGCTGAAGGTATCCATCAATCTCTGTGAGAGATTAGGTTATCTGTAGACCGGTGAAACCAGGATGACATTTACGGGACTCGAGAATCTATCCATAGTAAAGGAGTCATGAGATGACCCACTCTTTAGAGTCCGTAAATGAAGATTCCCAGTTTCGACAAAAGATAACCCTAGACAGTAGGGTTTGATACATTTTCCTTGACCTAGGTCAATGGGACGAATAACCGAGACGAAAGGACAATTCATATGGTAACCAAATAGGTATAACAGGTTGATCATTCGATGAACTCAACTAGCTCTGGGACAACAAAGCATTGCTAGTGCTCTGTGTTGTCATTAGATGGATTGAGCCTAATGGGCCCAAGCCCATTTATGTCAGTGGCTATGTTGGGCCTGATGGGTCGCACACAAACACCTTAAGTTCTCTTGAATTCTGGCATATGTGATTTGAGACCACTAAGGGATATTGGGCCTTAGTTTAAAAAGCCCACATATTGGGCCAAGAGAAGATAGGTGGCCTCATGGGTCAAGTTGGACTTGATCCATGATGTAACCTAATTAATTTAAATGTTAAATTAATAAAATTAATTTGAATTCTAATTTTGAATTTTGAATTTAAAATTTGAATTTAAATAAGAATAATTTGAATTCTAATTTCGAATTTCGAATTTGAAATTTGAATTTAAATAAAATTAATTTAAATTCTAATTTTGAATTTTGAATTTAAAATTTGAATTTAAATATAGTCATTAAATTAGATTTAATGAAGATGGAGAAAATAAAGGAAACCAATCAATTAGATTGATTGGCCAAAATTAAGGAAATCAATTAATTGGCTTAAATTGGAAAAACCAATTAATTGAATTGACTGACCAAAATTAAGGAAACCAATTAATTAAAATTAATTGGCTGAAATTGGGAAAACCAATCAATTGGATTGATTGGATAAAATTAAGAAAATTACCCAATAAGATTGGGATTTGATGAGGGCGCTGATTTGACCTAGTCTTAGGTTAATGAGGCGCCACATATATATAGCCCCTTTCTTCATCCTTAGTTTTTGTAAGTCTTTTTCTCTAATCTTTTCCTCTGAAACCCTAGCCAACACACACATTAGTGTGGCGACTATCTCTCCCTCTCTTGGAATAACCAAAGGCATCACCCACTCTTTGTTCTTCTCTTGAGTCTAGGAACCTCCATTGAAGGACATTGGACATTCGAAGAAGCGTTCTTCTCTTACAAGACAATAAGGTAGTGTGGATTTCCATCGGAGGACTTGTGTTCTTCAAGTCTGGAGAATTGATCACGAACGCATCTGATCAAGAATAGTTATCTGAATACATGTATCAACTTTAAAAGCCTAACATGTCTATTGCATGATTCATGGGTCGAACATGATTGAGGGTAGGCAAAGGTTGCTTTTTCCGCATAAATTTTTTAATTTTTCCCTTTTTTATGTTCATGGCCTACAAAAGGCTACTTTCAATAGTGACTATTTAATTCGTGATATGTCTCTTCACACTTAGGAGTCCATGCAAAATCCTTTGTCTCCTTTAAGAGTTAGAATAAGAGGAGTGACTTTTGAGCTTACTTGACCAAAAGTGATTTAGTGCAACGATTCTCTTATTCAATTGCTCAACTACCTTTGTGAATTGCAGAATCCTAAAATGAGCACAACCTAACCTTGAGCGGATTTGTTTTGATTCCTCAGTCCATAAGCAAGAACTCCATAAACTTGTCAGCTTAATTAAACTCCAAAAGTGCACTTGGAAAGGTTAAGCCATAAGTTGTACTTCATTAATATTTTGAACATCGTCCTCATTTAGATCTCGAACATGAGCATTCTCATCCAAAAGTCATCAATGTACACTTCACATATTCTATTGAACATCTAGTCTTCGAACACTCAATTCATCAATCGGTGATAGTTGGCATGAGCAATTTTATTTTTATTTTTTGTATAAATCATCCAGTATCCGTTCGTCAACATGTGCCAACTAATCTATTAGATCTGAGCTGGGTAGGACCATAAAGGCGGCAAAACTCTTCTATCAAGATTTAACATAAAATTTTCCAATCTAAAGGGCATAACTTTATAACATTGACTAACCTTTTATGTGATAAAGACAATATTTTCTTCATAGTTGGGCACATGGGGATCTGATTGTAGACAACAATATGTGTCCATGAATAAAGAAAGATAGATTCTAGACGAGTTGTTGACTAGGTAGTTAATGTTGGGAAATTGGAAAAAGTCCTCAGGCTAGACTTGATTTAGTCAGTGTAATCGACACTCATGTGTCAATTCCTGTTAAACTTTTTCAATAAGATGGCATTGGAAGAATCTAGGATGTCTCATAGTTTGGCAATTTTAGATTTTTTTTCCTTTCACATAGCAACTCTATTGGTAGTTACAGTGGCAACGAGGAAGTGTATACTTGCAAAACACTTCGATACTGAAGTCAGAGATATATATGTATGACTTCTTTTAAATTAATGAATGTTCATTACAAGTTAAGGGTCTCCCATTTTATAAACAATAGGTCATGGAAGTAACTTATATGAACTTCTCATTGGAGAATGTAAGAAAAAATTAATAAGAGTAAAAGTTGTTTTAAATTAAGTTTACTAGTCACCACAAAGTAGGTTTTTTTTTTAAACAATAATAATCCATCTTGAAAAAAAATCAAATTTTTTAAATAAATACAAAAAAATAATAATTTAATTTTCAAAATCAATAAATATATTGATTTATGTCTAACCTGCAATGACCAAAGGCATGGAAGCTCAATTCCTTGGTTGACTTATCGTTTACGTATGGGCGTTAAGTCTATTCAGGAGTTGATCTGAATCTACTACATACAAAATAGAGGCCTAATAGCTAAAGGCTCAAATGGCCTAGAGAACCCCCCCCCCCCCCCATGCGACATAGCCACAAAGGCAATACATCTCGCACCAGAAACATGGATCTCACTTCAAACTTTGCCAACAAGCCAAATATGACTTAGCATGAAAGG